TTCTCATTGTATGGTGTGGAGAGCAATGGAAGAGGGTTGGTTCTAAAGTGTGAATGAAGTTCAGGATTCTTGAACGAAATAGGTTTAAGAAACGTTTTAACCTCCACTCTAGGCCCCACTTCCCCAATCCCCCCTCCAGGAGCACCTAGTCCTACAATAGCTCTATTGTTAGATTTTGGAAAGCTTATCCTCCTGCAGAGTTATAATAGAAGGCTTAAAAAAATGTTTTTTTCTTTTTTGCTTGCATTTTTATTACAGAAATTGAAAAATTACCCTGTGGAACAGAGTTGTTAAGCTCATAATATGAAACATTACGGTCAGTGTAAAAGAAAGAACTCTAATACTATCCAGATTTGTTTTTACATTAAAGATGTACAATTTAAGATATGCCTGGAATGTTGCCTTCCGTAAGTTAAGAAAATCTTGGGAAAAAATGGGCCGGAGGAGAAAAAGGATGTTAACCTTAGTGAAAGAATTCTTCCCTTGTGAAGCAAAGGCACAAATGAGATAGAATAGGAACTACATGTTGAAAGGGTATGAAGTTCTTCTGGGAACAGGAGATATTCTAAAGCTACGTGCTATCTGATAAAGTAGCCATTGGCCACTTGAAATGTGGCTAGTCTGTATTGAGATCTGCCCTAAATGTAAAACACGTACCAGATTTCTAAGGTATAGAGTGAAAAAAGAAGTTTCATTAATTTTATGTTTAAATGAAGACGTTTTGGAAAATTTGAAATCGCTTAGGTGGTTCTCATTGTATTTCTATTGGATACTGCCAGTAAGAAAACATTTGAAGAGGATCAAACCTTTCATTTGTGAAGGAGGGCAACCATCTTACACTTCTCAAGTAGCCTCCAGATATGGTATGCTTCATTGAATTTTTATAAGGGGGAAAAGACCAATATAGAGGACATTTTCAGAAAGCAAGTTCTAACTTACAGAGCCTTATGTCTGTCACCTGAACATTACAGTATTGAAAATAATAAAGATACCAAGTTATCAAAAAATTCGAATTAGATTCAATGAAGGTGATTAAGGATACAGGAAAATATGTATAACATTTAAAATTATGTTACATGTGTTTAAAATAAGTTCTGCATTTTAAGCTTTATTTTTTAGTCACAGTATACCTCTTTAGTTTTCCAGTGAGCTAGTGAGTTGAGATTTTAGGGAAGCTTTGTTTCCAATTTCTTTTTACACTTGCTTTAAAAATATATTTATTTTTCATTTATTTAATAAAAGCTCACTGGAGGCTAGGAGTATTGCTAGGCAGTGTTGATAAAATGTGAAGACAGAAGACAGACATGACCCTTTCTGGGTTCTGATGAGTATCAGTTCAGAGACAGTGAATTAGTGGATAATAACGAAGGCATAGTGTATTTTGCTTTTCAGTAAGTGCTTACCTCTGTAAATTCAACATGTTAGTTGTTTTAAACCTAGAATTTATATATTTTTGCTGACATGTTAAGAGTGTTAGTTAGGACTTAGCTGTGGGCTTAAGAAATATTAGTGAAAAAATAAGACTTAATTCATTCATAACTATGACAACCTAAAGGGGAAAAATTAAAATTGAATGAAAAGATGAAAAAATTATAATAGCATTTTATATTCTCTTTTAGCCTTTTAGCAACTTTTAGTTTCTGAGAATTTAATAATAGAAATGTAAGGAAGACATTGATTTATGCCCCTAATATAGTTTAAAATTGCTGACTTTATGAAGTTAAATTTATTTTAGCATATTACATAGTACTTAAATCAATATATTTGAGTCTTTTAGGAAAAAGTTAAATGTAGGTCTTATGTTATTTTACTACTGCTGCTGTAACAAATTATCACGAAGGTAGTGGCTCAAAGTACCAATTTATTATCTTACAGTCTGTGGGTCGTAAGTCCAACATGGTTTTCAGCAGTCTGAATCAAGATGTCCACAGGCCTGTGTTCCCTTCTGGAAGCTTATGGAAGAAACTGTTTTTTTGCTCATTCGGGTAGTTGGTCAAATTGGACTGTGCTGTTGTAGAATTGAGATCTCTGTTTCCTTGCTGGCCTTCAGTTGAAGGGTATTCCCAGTTGAAGGGTATTCCCAGCTTCTACAGGCCATCCATGTTCCTTGGTTGTGGCCTTCTTCCTTTACCTTCAAAGCCAGTAGTGGTAGATTGAAACTTTCTCATCCTTCTGATCTCTTCTTTTTCTTATTCCATTATTTTGTTTTTTTCAATTACAGCATTTTAATGAATTGATTTGATCAGGTTGAATCATCCATCTCAAGGTCCATATTTTAAACACATTTGCAAAGTCTCTTATGGCATAATAGCATATTCACAAGTTCCAGGGAGGGTGTGGGGAGCTTTAGGAGCCATTACTCAATCTGACCATGCCATGTATCCAGTATTTTTACCAGTATTCTCAATAATACTTTATTTTTGAATGATATGAATATTGATAAATAACAGGTAAATTTTGTTCAATGTGCAAAATGTTCCAAGCATTATGCTGAGCCCTTTTACTGTAGTCACTCATTAATCCTCACTACTACCCTCGAAGGCAAACCCTATTTTCATTTCCACTTACAGATAGAGTACAGAGAGCAGAGTAGCTTGCCTAACTCCTCACTATGTTACTTGTTGGAATGAGGTTAGGTTCCAGAGCCTGTGCCTGCTCTAAGCCTAAACATAATGAAGATAATTTCCAGATATATAAATTTATTAAATATTCACTAGTGATGTAATGGCTGTCAGTTCAAGATCTGGCATCATACCACATTATCTGGATTCAAATTCTGCCTACCAATTACTTGATAGCCGTAGGCAAATTACTCAATTAGCAAAGAACCAAACTAAAAATAATAATACTTGAAGATCAAATAGGTACTTAGAACAGTGCATCCATACAGTCATGCATCACTTAACTGGATTCTGAGAAATGCATTCAGTTAGTTCATCATTGTGTGAGGATCACAGAGTATACTTACACAAAGCTCAGTGGTATAGCCCACTGCACAGCTAGGCTATTGGTACAGCCTGTTGCTCATAGGCTATAAACTTATACAGCATGTTACTATGTTGAATACTCTGGGCAGTTATAGCACAATGGTAAGTATTTGTGTTTCTAGACATGTAAACATAGAAAAGGTGCAGCAAAAATACAGTATTTTAATCCTAGGGAACCACCATTGACTGCATCGTTAATGTGGTACATAACTGTAGGAATCTATCGCTAGCTGTAATTATTGGTGACAATTCAACTTTTAAAAACAGTATCTATTATAAAAAGAAATGTTTCCTTTGGGTACTTTCACATTCTACTTGTGAAACAAAAACTAAAATTTAGACTTTTTGTTTTACTACACCACCACAGAGCTATCTCAGTCTCTGATTTCTCCTGACTCCAGACTAGCCTCTTTTTCTAGAAGTGTTAAAACTTCGTGTTATTTGATCATACACTTGAAACAGTTTGTCAAGATTCTGGTTGTAGCAGATCCATGTCTAAACTTTGTAGATTGGCACCAATACCTTTCACATGCTCTGGTACTCTCTCTTGCCACCCCTTTGCCAAGTATTTACGTAGTCATCAATTCTAACACCTTATTATTCTCATTTGCTATTATTCCTTGACGGAGGCCCATATGTATGTATGTGGGGGCAGGGGAAGGAGGGTGTTTATATCCTGGGTCCCTGGCCATCATGTCTTCTAATACCATTCCAAAATTTGCCCTCTTTTCTAATAATGTTTGCTACAATTGCCTTAAAGTCCTCCTTTTTCCTTCTTTTTGAGTCATCTCATAACATATTGTTGGCCTCTAGCCTTATTGCCCTTCAGGTTTAATCTCCCTGCTTGCCAGAATGATCTTTCTAAAATACAAAACTCTACACGTCCCTCTTTTTCAAACCTTTCAGGGCATGCTCTGCAGTTCCTTTTCTGTGCTTCTTGGCACCAGTTACATGCTTCTACTGTAGCACTTAAGGTATCACACAATGGTTTATTTTATTAAATAATTGTCTTTCTAAACCATGAAGTCATTGATAATGGTCATAAGAGATGGTTGTGCTTGAATGAATTTATATCATTTTTCATAATAAAAATTATCACATTATTTTGTCATTATTTGGCTTTTATCACTAATCTGTGAATTTTAAGGGAGGCTCATTGCTGTATTCATTTGACTTCTCTGGGCATATGGCTTAGAAAGTGCTTAGTAACTGTTGAAAGAATATATTTTGAAATATAATCCAGGATATATACAATAGTACTTTTAAGTCAAAAAAATC